GTTCGCGAACAACGAGCCGTTTTGACAGTCCTAGCCTTAACACCAGCCCTCTTGGTGCCTACACGTGAACTTCAATTTCGTTTTTACTGTGAATAACCTCCACCTAGAGCTTAAACGAAAAAAAAAAATAATAATAACTCATTTTCTTGTGTTCCGGTCTGGTAATCCGTGTAATTCAACATTATTCAGATATTATTGTGATATTATTGATGTGTTATTGTATTATTATAACATTGAGAATATTATCAGAACACAATAATACATGAATATCATCACAATAATACTTGAATAATGCGGAATAAAGTCGGGGGAATATTCCCTTGTGCTAAAATTTTTTTTTTTTCTCTCTCAATATGGTTTGATTTTATTGGACTCCGCCGGGAGAATATTCTCTTGTGCTAAAACGATTTTTTTATATTTTTATGTCACCTCCACGTGGCTTAATTTTATTGTACTCCGGACGTATCTCTACATTTACCTACATAACACATATTTCTTATATATTTACTTATGCAACACCTAAATATACATATTTAAGACACATGGCTTCGGTCTTTAACACAAATATATCATATTATTATTTTTCTAAAAATAAAATACATGTTTTAATGCATGAATTATAACATCAAATTGTTAAAAATATAAATATCAAATTTTGAATGTTATATATGTAAATACACAAAAGTTGTTTGTTATGTTTGTAAATTTCTTCTTTTATATAGTTAAATTATTTAAAACATTAATTCAATTTAGAAGATAAATGCAGCTAAATTAAGTAACAGCTCAATGATTTTTCTATTTCAATTTAATTTTTATTGATTGGGCATTTATAGACGTATTAAAAAATTGTCACAAATTTTAAATATAACGTCTAAACACTTATTTTTTACATGTATAATAATAAATTTTTATGTCATGCTAAAATAATTACTACTATTATAATCTTTTTAATAGTGAAATACACGTTTGGCTAAATAATTTCTTTTCTTTTTTTTTTTACTGCAATGTCTCATTGGTGGCAATTAGGGATGTCAAAAAAGCTCGTTGTTCGCAAATAGTTCGTGTTCGATTCGTCAATGAGTTCGCGTTCGATTCTTTTGATAAGCAAACGAGACGAACGTGAAAAAAAAATTTTCGTTCGGTTAGTCAAACAAGACGAACGTGAACAAATTTTTTTCGTTCGGTTAGTCGAACAAACCAAACACAAACAGTGATGTATTTGTTCGTGTTCGAATCGTTAT